ACAACCCTTTGTCAGCTTCATCCTTAGATATTTCACATTTTAGATGTTTTTATAAATGTACTTCTAGTTTTTCAATTTCTAGCTATTTATTTGTAACTTCTAGAAATATAATTGTTATTATTTTGTCTTTTTTTTCTGGCAGGCCTGGCTCACCTCAGTTTATGAGTTCAATAACTTTTTTGTAGATTCTACAGGATTTTTTTTTCTGGAGTTTATGTAGCCCAGGCTGGCCTCAAATGCCTGCCTCAGCCTTTGAGTGCTGAGATTACAGTGTGAGCCACCACACCTGGTGGATTCTCTCTCTCTCTCTCTCTCTCTCTCTCTCTCTCTCTCTCTCTGTAATAAAATAATGATTTCAGCGTTTGTGTACAGAGATAAATTTATGCAACCAGGTCAGAGCCTGGAAATGACTCATACTCCCTTCGATGCAGGAGGACTCCATACTGGGTCAATGGGTGGGTTCAGCTCTGCATCAGAACCATCTAGAACTTAGATCCCTCGTTCTAGTGTCAGGAGTTCTTTCTTTCCATTTGTTTAGGCGACAGGGTCTTCTGTGTCGGCTTCAAGCTTGTGTATCTCCTGCCTGTGCTTTCTGAGTGCTGGGATCACAAGCATACGCCACAGGCATATGCCACCCACTATGCCTAGCTGGACTTAGGGATTCTCAAACTTCTCACAAAACATACTCGGGCAACACCAAGTGAGTCCCCGAAGGTCACACTGGTTAGGGATTCTGACCCTTCTTGGCCAGTTTATAAACCTGAACGTTTGGATCATCAGCTGGCACCAGCCAGGTGACATTGACTTCAGCCAGGTGGGGACACTGTTGACAGGCAGAGCAGATCCACGGTGACAGTGGTCAGGTGGCAGTTCTTACATGGGCTGCTATGCTTCCACTGACAGAAACATTCTCTCCTCTTCCTTTCCAGTCTTAATGCCTTTTATTCCTTTCTGTGCGTCTCTTCACCTAATCGCACTAACACGATTAACCACTGAATACATTTTTTGCATTGATTCACTTGGAAAAAGTGACTCTGTTCAATTTGCTTTATAACCTGAACTTTTTCCTTTTTTTCTTCGGTTTAAAACTTAGCAAATAATTTTTATCGTGGTGTTATTCAATACGCAATTGTATTCTTGTACATAAAATAACATATGGTTTTTAACATTATTTTTAAAGCATTTTATTATTTTTACTTTATGTGTGTGAGTGTACTGCCTGCACGTGTGTAGGTTGCACCCATGTTATGCAGTGCCGAGAAGGTCAGAAGAGGGTTGTCAGATCCTCTGAAACTGGAGTTACAGATGGTTGTGAGCTGCCACGTGGGTGCTGGGAACTGAACCCAGGTCCTCTTGCAAGAACAGCCAGTGCTCTTAACCACTGAGCCATCTCTCCAGTCCACATATGATTTTTAACAAAGAACTTGTAGCTCTTGCAGAGGACCAGGGTTTGGTTTCCAGCACCCACATGGCAGCTTACAACCATCTTTAACTCCAGTTGCAGGGGATCTGACGCCCTTGTCTGGCCTCTGTGGGAACTGTGCACGTGTGGTACATACACGTGCACTCATACACATAAAATGAAAATAATTAAATCATACCTTATTTCACTAAAACCACCAGTGCAATGTTGAATAGCTGTGGTGGGGCAAACACTCTTGCCTCTTCGCAGTGGGAACATTCAACTTTCCAAGCTGTTGGTTGTGGTTTACGGTGAGTCCTCTTTTTCAGTGAAGATGTCTCCTTCAATCTCAATTTGATGAATTTTTTTCAGGAATGGATGTTGAATTTTGCCCAAGAGTGTTTGTTGGTCGGTTTTGTTGGTGGCATCTGAGATGGTCAAATGATTTTCTTCTTTAATCTGATAATGTATGATATATATTGATTGATTTTTAATGTAAAAAAATCAACCTTTCGTTCCTAGAATAAACCCAATTTTGTCATGGTTTGTTTTCCTGTTCCTATATTGTTATAGATTATGTTTGTCAAATTGTGCTGATTTCTCTGTTCATGAGAAATGCTCATCTGGAGTTTTTCTTCCCTGTTGATACCTTCATTAGCTTTGGTATCAGAAAAGTTTTGACTCCGAGAGTGAATACAGCGTTTTCTCACCTCTCTTTTCTGGGGAGTTTTGTTAATGGACATTCTGAGCTGAATTGTGTTCCCTCAAAATTCACATGTTGAAGCCCTAATGCTCAGCCCCTCAGATCGGGTCTGTATTTGAAAATGGGACCTTTAAAGAAATGATTAAGTTAAAATGAGAGTGAGCCCTAATCCACTTGATTTTCCACAAAAACAGAAATCATACATGCACCTCCCCTGATATCTTCCCATCTGTCTCTGAGGAGAGCCCAGGTTTACATCCTGGGCTGCCATCCCACAAGTAGAATTTCCAGGTTGACCAGTTCATTATTCATTACTGAGCACATGGAGCTTGGTAGGGCAAGGTAGGAGTGGGGAGGCCCTGCCCTTCCCCTGGAGCATCGGGTGTCTCTGAAGACCTGCCTGTCCTGCACCTCCACTCTGATGGCAGGGGAGAAAGTGGCTGGTTCCAGGAGCAGACTGTCCAGGGCATAAATCCAATCATTCCCAGCTCCCCGCTGGTTGGAGGGTGTCTCTCCTTTGGAGCTCGGTGATCTCACTGAGAGGTAGATAGATGCCAGTGTCAAAGCAGAAATAAAACTCAGGTCTGTGCAGACAAATGAAAGCAAGGTAAGCCTTTTCACTGCCAGTCTGAGGTGCAGAGCAAGCCCATGTCCACCGCGAACGGAACTAAGGGCCCCTGCTCTCCAGTCTATGTCAAGACCCACAAACCAAAACATACACACATATCTACAAAGGAACTCACAAGCAAGTGCAAATTAACCCCTTCCCATGTGCAGGTGTGTGAGTGGAGGAAGAAGGGAACTTCCTGGGGAGGGGAGGGACCTACTCCACAGAGGGAAGGCTGGGCAGAGAAGGGTGGGGGTTGACTGAGGGGAAATGAGTGGCATCGGAGACCAGCTCAGTGGCTTGGGACAGCCAGAAGAGGAAGTCTGAAAAGCTTGGGGTTGGAAGACAAGCCCCGGGGGCTCATTTCCAACTCTTGTCAACAGCTTTGGAGATTTATGCTGGATTCGAAGGGTGGAGGTACAGATGAGGGGATCATTTGGGGTACTAATTTCCCATACTCTCCCCATCCCAATCCCAGTTCACTCAAGGCCAGAGGCTAGACCCTTGATACAATCAGGTCTTTAGAATGGAGCCCTATGCACACCTCATGCACAGGCCCCTGATAGCAACAATCCTTTCTCCTTGTGGCCTTGGTACCCTGACTCCACAGCCAAAGGAACCATAGAACAAGGAAAGAAGCCCACTGTCCAAGATCTGGCTGACCAGGAGATGAGGGTCAGAGCCTGCCCAGTCTGGCCAGAGGGCTCTCAGAGCTTGAAGCCCTCCTTCTTTCCTGGTCTGCCACACACACTGCACTCCCTAAAAACAAACAACGTGCAACACCACCCTGGCTCACCAGGCCTTCCGCCAGAGACATCAGTGCCAAGTAGGGTATCTATGGTGATTTTTAAAGACATTGAGTGTGGTAACTCAGAAGTGGAGCAGGAGGGCAGTTGCTGGAGGCTGGGGATTGCTGCTCGAACACCTGCAGTGTACCGGACAGCCCCGTGCAATGTGGTCTCCACCCACTGGGCCAGGTATGCCAAGCTTGGGAGGTCCTGCCACTGATGTGCAGGTGAACTGGAGGCTTCCTGCCAGATGAATGTGCTCCAGCCCTTAATCAAGCTCCTCCAGGCTCTTCTCAGCCAGGCTTTGACGTTTGGACTTCCCTGTGGGTCTCTACAATATCCAATTTTAGTGATGGTCCTGCTAAGTTGATTTAGCTAGGATCTCTGTCTTCCCCCACTTGGCAACTTCAATATCTGATCAGCTCCTCAGCACCCCTAGGTAATGTCTGAATCACCATGCTTCTACAGAAAAAAGTCTAGACAGCTGAGCCAGAACCTCCTACCTTGGTGGGCCCGCTCGACAATTTTCTATGTACGGACACTCCCGTTGGCCTTGCTTTACTTTCTTCCTTTTGGTTTTTTAATTTTTATTTTATGTGTATGAATGTTTTGCCTACATGTATGTAAATGCACCCATGAGTGCAATGCCCACAAAGACCAGAAGAGGGCGTTGGATCCCCTGGAACTAGAGTTACAGATGGTTGTTAGCTGCTGTGCAGATGCTGGGAACTGAACCCAGGTTCTCTGCAAGAGCAGCCAGTGCTCTTAAAGCTGAGCCATCTCTCCAGGTTTTCTTTCTTCTTTCTTTTTTTGACAGGGTCTTATGTTGCCCTGGTGTCCTCAAGCTTGTTAACTAACTGAGGATGAATTTGAATTTCTGATCCTCCTGCCTCCGTCCTGAGTGCTGGGATTAAAGACAGACACCATCACAGCTGGTTTTATGCAGTGCTGGCGTTGGAGCCCAGGCCTTCATACACTCTAAGCAGTTTATCAGCTGAGCCAATATCTCCAGCCCTTTACCTCCCTGTGTTTGGAGTCCCGTCTCTCTTCCCTGCCAAAAGGTCTTAGTGCAGTGGTCCCCACACCTGTCATGATGTCCCTGGGATAAAGTGCCTTTTACTTTTCTTTGACAAGTGTCACTGGCCAATATTTTCTTTACCAGACATGGGTGGAGAGACCGTCAGCCTTGTTTCCCCTTCAGATACAGGGGGAGGGGCTTGTTCTTGGTAAGGTGCTTAACATCTCCCTCCCCTCGAAGGACAGGCAAAGAGGTGGGGATCTTACCAGCCAGAGGTGGGCAGGGCTGTGGCAGTGGGAGGGAAGAGGTGGAGTCACCTTTTTCTAGAACATCTGTCACCTGCCTTCTGCCCAGGGGCATTGCCCCAGCACTATCCTGCCAGGGTGCTCGGCAGTGTGAAGCTGGGGCCTGCACCCCAGAGACTTCCGAGCACATCAAGGACCTTTCAAGCCCTATGTCGCTGGCCTCCCCAAATCCAGGACATGGCAGATGGGGCGCAGGCCAACCCCAAAGGGTTCAGGAAGAAGGTGCTGGTTAGCCGCCTTCCTGGGTGGAGGGGCCGGAGCCTCAGGGCTTCTTCTCCTGCAACAGCCTCCAGGTAGGTGCCTGCTCCCTTGGGATGGAACTTTCCATGGAGAGGGCAGGGAGCAAGATGAAGAGTTGATTCCTAGAGAGGGCTGTTTCTCCTGGAAGGAGAACTCTGAGTTTTTGCACACCAGGCAAAGGCAAGCCATTGCATTTTAGCCCTAGAAGGACCTTTGGGATGAGTTAGTCAACCTCATGCTGCATTTGAGGCCCAGAGAGACCCAAAGAGGCCTTGAGAGTTGAAGGAATCTACCCAGTCACTCCACATATGCAGAAAGAGCTAGAACTAGAATCCAGGGACCCAAGTCTCTTGGTTTTAGGATTAAGACCCACCTGCCAGCCAGAGTCCCATGACCCTGGTCCTAGAACTCCTTGGGGTGTGAGCAGGAGTGCTCAATCTAGCTTGGGCTCCTGTCTTGGAGCTGAGCATGGAGGGAAGTCAGCTCTGTCACCCTGGAGTGTGTTCCTCCCAGAGGGTACAGGCCAGGTTGGGGAGGCACAGAACACAGGGCTGGGTGACAGCAACTAGGGCATCAAGAGAAAGCCTGGGTGGTGCCTGGGATGAGGCTGGGCTGCAGGCAGGTAGAGAGGAAGGACTCAGGCTGGGCTTTCCTCTTTCTCAGGTTCAGCCTGGGTATGAAGAAATTCTTCGCCATCGCAGTCCTGGCTGGCAGTGGTGAGCATGGAAACCCCTCCTCTGTCCCCTCCAGCCTTTTCCTAGAAAAGTGGTGTCCACATTGTACCACTGGCAGGCTGTTCCTTCCCCTCTCTGGGCCTCCGCTTTCCTGACAGGCTTCATCCTCTCCCTGGACCTGTTTGGTCCTCTGGCCACTTGTAAACATGCTGAGGCTTCATTTAATGAGTGCTGACTGGCGTGGGCAAAGCAGAACAAGTGCTGTAAACTGGCTGTGTTGGCCATCACTGTGGGCCTAAGCTGTGTATTAGTGAGCCTCCATGCTGGCAGGACTTAATGAGTTTGTGTGCAGCTAGATGCCTGTCTGTGCATGTGTGTAGGTGTGTCTGAGTCCCACACATCAGATGAATGTGTCTTGGGGTTGGCACTGGTTGTACACCGGTGTCTCTGTGTATTCTTTGTGATGTATGTGCTGTCCTGTGTGTGTGTGTGTGTGTGTGTGTGTGTGTGTGTGGTTTGTGTGTGTGGTATGTCTTTGCACTATTGCTTCCTCAGTATGTATCCTGAGATGCACCAACTCCAGGATAGTGGTGAGACCTTTGCCTTCTCTTGAGGGGCAGAGACACCACAGGTCAAGAAGGGAAGGGGAGGACCCAGAACCAAACTCCTGTACCTCACAACAGTATGTGATGGTTGTGAAGCCCTGTCCAGGCTCTAAGCTCTGAGGAAGTCCCTCTTTGGGGAGTGTAATGGTTTGACTTAAAATGACTCCCCCTCCCCCTCCCCCTCCCGCTCCCCTTCTTGCCATGCTGGAGACTGAATCCAGAGTTCGTGTTGCCTAGCTATGATGTTAGCCCAGGTGTATGAAATGCATGCGTGTGTGTGCTTGCGTACATGCCTCTGTGTATGTGTATGTGTGGTATGTATGGTTTGTGTGTGTGTGGTGTGTGTGTGTATGGTTTGTGTGTGGTGTATGGTTTGTGTGTGTGTGGTGTGTGTATGGTTTATGTGTGGGTGTGTGTATGGTTTGTGTGTGGTGTATGGTTTGTGTGTGTATGTGTGGTGTGTATGGTTTGTGTGGTGTATGCTTTGTGTATGTGTGGTGTGTTTATGGTTTGTGTGTGTGTGTGTGCATGTGTACACTATTGGGGATTGAACCCAGGGCCTCAGCCCATGCTAGGTAAGCTCTCTACCACTGAGCTATATCCCCAGCCTCTTTTTACTATTCATTTTGAGACAGGATCTCTTTAAGTTGCCCAGGCTGGCCTTGACCAGACTGTAGCCCAGGCAACCAGACATGTTCAATCCTCCCGCTTCAGCTTCCTGGCATAGCTGGGGTGACAAACAGCTAAACTGTCATTTTGATTGAATATTTCACGTTACTATTGGTTTATCTGGATGTGGCTCCCTCAGAAGCTGAGCATCGAGGCAGGGTGTGACTGAGTGAGGTGCCCTCCCTGTGTGGGTCCATGTTCTCCATCGCCTTCTGCCTTGTGACCCTAGGCAAGTTACTCAGTGCTCTAGCCTCAGTCTGCTTATCTGTAAAGTCCGATAACAGCTTGTAGGGTTGCTGTGAACACCCAATGAGTTATCAAATGGGAGGGTGTAGGACAGTGCTAGGCTGGCACAGAGCAAGCCTTCAGCTGATGGGAAGCATATTCGGTCCTCAGAGCTGTAGAGCTCAGGGAGAGGGTAACACGCCAGCCTGGGAGGCTGTGCATTCTTCTCTGCGCCCTGCCACCTCCCACACTGTCTGCCTCTTCCCCCCCTCACCTGGTCCCCTGGGCTCTGAGGCATCACTGGCTGGACTCACACTCCCAGTTCTCTTGCAGTTGTGTCCACCACTCACAGCAGCCTGTTGAACCTGAAGTCTATGGTGGAGGTCATCACAGGCAAAAATGCCATCCTGTCCTACGTGGGTTACGGCTGCTACTGCGGGCTGGGGGGCCGAGGCCAGCCCATGGATGAGGTGGACTGGTAGGTACTCGAGGCCTGGGTTCCTCTGGGGACCGGTGGAGGCAGCCTGAGGAAGGAGGGGATGCTTCTCACAAAGGACCAGGCTTACTGGATGAGTTGGTGGCCGGGAGCACCATCTTTGACATCTTAGATGCTTCCTGTTATCTGTATTTCAGCCTCTCTCTGGGAAGGAGTAGAATTTTATGTCTGTTTCTCCCTGCCCCCACAGACACACATGAGTGTGCCAGGACATGGCTGACACTCCACAAGGGGTGTGGTCCACCCTGTTAGACCACACCCCATCCCTCAGATGGGAGCCCCCGAAAGCCATGGCTTCTGCTCTGGCCTCCCTGGCAGCAGCCAGCATGGAGTCTGGCATCACAAGGGGCTGGCAGCTGGCTTCCTTCCCTCCTTCGTTCTGCATCTGCATCCTGTCCCCCACCCTCCCAATGCCTGTTGACCCCTGTCCCCTCCCTGGCTATCCATCATAATCCAGCACAGAGTCAGAGCTAGCTACTTCATGCTGGTTTTAAGCCAGGCCCTGTCTTCTTCCCTGCCCCTTTCCTGACCACACTACTAGGACATTTGATGCCTCCTGAGTTTCATCCTGGGCTTCAAGCTGCAGGGGGGAGCTGGGAACCCCAATGATAAGACAAAGAGGCAAGATCGAGGACCTCGGAATCCAGGGGCCAGCCTTAGCTCCGCTTGGCCATGTGACCTCTCTGGACCGCGGTCTGAAGATCTGATCACGAGGGACTGAAACAGAAGACTGAGGTCTCTGCCCCTCACTTCTGCCCTCCCCAGGTGCTGCCATGCCCACGACTGCTGCTACCAGAAACTCTTTGACCAGGGCTGCCGCCCCTATGTGGACCACTATGACCACACAATTGAAAACAATACCGAGATTGTCTGCAGTAAGTCCCTCCCCACAATACCCGGGGCCTTGGGTTGAGGGTGGGACCAAAAGACAAACCCAGGAACACACCCTGCCTCCTCCCACTGCATGTGGACTTTAGGACAAATATTCTCAGATAAGAATATCCCAAATACTGCATGGGACACACTGACACTGCAAGTGTTCTCTCATATTAGCAATTAGCGTGACATGAAGAATAGCTCATGGTATGAGTTGGTGAAAGTACTATTCTTGGAGCTGGAGAGAGATGGCGCAGTGGTTAGGAGCACTGGCTGTTCTTGTAGAAGACCCGGGTTTGATTCCCAGTGCCTACGTGACTGTAACTCCAGTTCCAAGGGATCCAATGCCCTCTTTTGACCTCCTCAGGCATTGCATGACACAGGTGCACTTACATACATGCAGGCAACCCTGTACTTCCTCCCTGTGACAGGTGAGCTCAACGAGACAGACTGTGACAAGCAGACATGTGAGTGTGACAAGAACGTGACTCTGTGCCTCAAAGACCAGACATACAGGGATCAGCACCGTGGCTACCTCAACATCTACTGCCAGGGCCCCACGCCAAACTGCAGCATCTATGACCCGCTCCCTGAGGTTGTCACCTGTGAACATGGCGTCCCCTGGACCTCTTTCTCGCCCTAGCCCTGCTGAGGTCTGAGAAAGAAGAAGGTTGAGGGTCTGGCTGGGGTCTAGGCCAGATAGGTGGGGTCAGACGGGCTATCCTGTAGTCCTCTCCCAATCCTATAGTGAGTGAGCTCAGTTCCAGGAGACTCTGGAAGGCAAGGGCCTGACTGTGGCCACCACTCTGTCAGCCTCACGCTAAGTGTAGCTGTCTTGTTGCTGAGTCTGTTCTTGGCACATGGCTTGCAGGGTTTGGAAGGCAACCCTGAGAGAGGAGAGGTGGCACTCTGTGGCTGGTCCAGATCAACTCCAGGGCCTTTGAGATCCAGAACCAGCTTTGAGCAGGGGTCTGTCCAGGAACACACTCCCAGGCAGGCAGTGAGTTGGGAATGAGGCCTGGCTTCTGGAGGACCCTGGGACCCTACAAGATGGCTCAAGGAGATTCTTTTTCGCTTTGGGGACTTGTGGCTCTCTAGAGCCCCACTCACAGAGCAGATGGCCCCATCTTACCCTTAGCCTCCAGGATATGTCTAGCCCTGAAGTTTGGCCTCTGTTACCCAGTGCTCTGGGGCACTGGAAGCCCATGAGCACAGTTGAATACCTCTGTGTGTGCAGAGGCTGGCAGGCGGGCACACATGCACAGCTTTTCTTGTCCCTCTGTGCAAAAGGCAGTACACCCCACCCTGCCCTGCCCCCATCGAAATTCAGAGTGGTAGGCTAGCTCTCCCTAAGGCAGTCAGGCCAGTGTAGGAGTACCCAGAGCTCTTTCTCCCCATGCAGGAAGACACTGAGGTCTGGGGTCACAGCTTAGAGAACAGGGGCATAAAAGTTGTAGGTAAGGCAGGAGTCAAAGGAGGCTTGTTAGGAAGGTGATGGAGAGGGAGCAGGTGGTGAGCAAGTGGGGGAGGTGAGACAAGGGACTGTCTCGTGAACACACCTCCCCTAGGCCCATAAGACCCTGTGGGGTCCTGTCCACCGTACCTCACCCCCCTCCCACACAGAGTATTTCCACAGAACGTAACATCCCCTTCTCAGATTAATAAAGGTACCTGCCTTGAATGTCAGTGTTGGGTCCTCCTTGGACAGGAAGGAGGGCACAAGGGAGTGTCCTCAAACGAAGGGATGGTGGTGGGTTAGTGGTACCTGGGGGTGCAAGGCCCCATGACTCTGGGGAATCTTGGGCAGGGGTGAGGGCTTTGGCTCACAGGTCAGCTTCTCCACTGTGCCTGACCCTGTGTTTCTTTAGGTGTTACCTCCCCCAGTCCCCCAGTGCACCTCACCTTCTACCTCAGGGTCAGCAGTTTCCAGCCCTACCTCAGATCTGTCTTCAGCCTTCATCCTATGTCAACTCCGAGGACCCAAAGATGCCAGCCTCATCTGGACTCTGAGAACAGCCATCAAGCAGCTCAGCCTGCCCTGACAGGGGCTACATGGGACATTGTCACTGGGGACAGATGGCCAAGCAGGGTGGAGGAAGAGGCAGGAAAGGACATCGATGAAAATGGGTGGGCAGCCTTGCCAAGCAGAAGCATCTGGAACAGCAGTATTTGGGACTGAGGGGTAACTGTGGTGGGGAGGGACTCCTCTGGGGTTCACCCGTTGCTGGCAGTGGTGTGACACAGTGGTCACTTGTTTGTGCTGACCCAACTTTCCCTGTCAGTGTGATCTTCCTCGTCTACCCTCTCAGGAGCTCAGCCAACAAGCCTCCCTTCTCCCCCGTGTCTCACTGGCCCCAACAACCCAGGGGCTGAACTGAGACAGGCGCTCAGAGCATCCTACTGGGTCATGGCCCCTGACCTATGGGCCCCTTCGTGGGCACATACCTATCCTCAGGAAGGCCAGGCCAGTGAGACTCGGCCACTGTGGAGTCCCATCCACTTGTACCTCACGCCCACAGAATTGCCACCGGATGTAGCATCCCCTCCTCCCATTAATAAAGGTCCCTGCCTTGGCTGTCACTGCTGGGTGCTCCTTGGTCCAGCCAGGGAGGGCACAGGGGCTCACTCCTGGGTCTCCAGGCCTGGGGGAAGTGAGTTCCTTGACACCCCACAGCTTACGTGGTCTATCCATCCCTCACTCCCTTCCTGAAGGTGATGTGGTCCTGCACAACTAAGGCAAAGACCGGAAAGTAGTGCCAAGGTCATGGGCAAGGGCCTGCAGGCTGAGGTCCCCGACACCACCGGTGTCAGCTCTCTGTCCAGTGCTGTTGTCTCAGCACTGTCTGTGATTGAATCTCTGGCCTGAAGGTCACAGCTTGACATGGGACTGTCTCAGTGAGCTGAGTAGGGGCGGGGGTGCCAGAGAAGGGCAGGAAAACAGGAACTTCTGGTCACTCATTCTGAAGCTGTGGTGGCTACAGGGAACAGTCCGCCTGGGTCCCCGTCCCGGTTTCTTCCCCATTCAGGTCCCTTCATGCATGCACACCCGTCTCCTCTGGTGTCCAGCGCCTGTTTGTGCTGACTCCCAGAGCCTTTCCTGAGGACATGAGGAGGGGCAGGTCCCTGAGGAGGACGAAGCTGAAACACATGGGCTCTGTCCCCCGCCCTCCCGTCTTCTGTGGAGCAGTCTGCTTTTCTGCACTGCTGTTCAGCCTTTTCTTTAAAAATTATTTTATTTTTATTTTTTTTGTGTGTATGAGTATTCTCCCTGAATGTATGTAAGTGCACCTGCATCCTGCAATGCCCAAAGTTCATCCTCTCTTACTCCAGCGCCACCTCTCGCCCCCCTCCCTCCCCCCCCCCCCCCCCCCCCCCCCCCCGGCTTTCGGGACCCTCCTTTTTTTAAAGTTCAACTCTTTCCTAGACCTCGGGCGACACCTAGTGGACATTATAGGTAACATCCAGAGCTACTCCCCACAGCTCTTGGGGGCGGCACAGTGGTGCCCCTATACCACAGGCAGACACTGCTCCAGGCAGCCCATGAGCCCTCAGGGCAGAAGGATATCGTCAATGTCATCTTTGCTATCTTATCACGGTCACCAACTCCACCTGTCACAAATAGCAGCCCTTCAAGCAGGACTTTCACCAGGCTTGGCCACTCACTGGTCACAGGGTTTGGGGGCAAGTCACGCCACCCTGTGAGTCTCGGCTCTCCCTCTCTGTACAGTGTAGCTGGTTCATGAACAACAGAGGTTTGGGGTGCTGATTGATGTCAGGGATGAGCTTGCCCTAGCACAGGGCCTGGTGGAGGGCACAAAATGTGCTGGTGGTGGGTCCCCTGCTTGGGTGTTTGCCAGAAAGTTCTCAGGGTCAGCTTAGCAACGAGGCGCGGGTAGGGGCAGTTGATGGAAATTGTCTGTGATCTTCTCCCATCAACGGAAACGTGGCAGAGCCACGTGTAGCTTAGTGAAACAGTCTGGTCCCTACACAAGGGTGGGGAAGCCAAAGGAGGTAGCAAGGGGAGGAGAATCGAAGGCTCTGAGGACACTTACTTCCCTAGGACCACAGACCCCTTCCTATGCCTTACCTGAGCCTGGGCTGGGCCGGCCACTTCCTCAGCAGGGCCTTGACGGTGAACACAGCCCTTTCCTCCCCAGAGGCAGGCACAACACCAGCTGTCAGTCTCCCCAGTTGTGGCTTCCTAACAAGCAGCTGATGCCACCAAATGTGACAAGCAAGGTTCTGGAGAGAAATGCCAAGGCTTCCTGGCATTGGGAGGCAGGAGTGTGCAGCAAAAACAAAAACAGAAAGAGAAACGGATCTCCCCGCGAGGGTAACCTCCAAGAGCAGCTTGAACTCAGTGTCAGTCAAGGAAGGAGAGTGAATTAGCTAAGCACTTACTATACACTTGATCACTCACTGAGGCTGAGCATGCATTGCATGCCGAGCACTTGAGTCACCTCATCCCCTTTGAGCAGCCCTCTGAGGAGGTCTCTCATACTTTCCTGTATAAAATGAGGACACTGGGGCCTAGAGAAGTCACACCAATTATTTAAGGTCACTCGGGAATTGAATTCTAATTCCCGAGTCAGAACCTCAGGAAGCTTCTGGTCCAGCATCCTCCTCCTTAAAAGGGGGGTGAGAACTGTCTTGGGTACTTTTCTCGTTCTGGTGACAAAGTTCCTGGCAAAAGCGACCTGAGGAAGGAAGGGGTTTTTTGGGCTCATGATTTGAGGGAATAAGGTCCATCATGGGGGGGAAGGCATGCTGGCTGGAGTATCAAGCATTGTGTTCAGAGCCAGGGAAGGGAGGGAGAGAGGGAGAGAGAGAGGGAGAGAGGGAGAGAGAAGGGGGAGGGGGGAGGGAGGGAGGGAGGAAGGGAGGGAGGGGGAGAGATTGATGCTTAGCTGGCTTTCCCCTCTTCTTTTTTATCCAGTCTGGAACCCCAACCCGTGGGTGATGTCACCCACATAAAGGGTGGGTCTTCCCTCCTCAGTTAAAACTGGATGGAAACAGCCTCTCCGGCATATCCAGTGTGTCCTAGGAGATTCCAATCCAGGTAAGCTGACAGTGAAGATGCGCCATAGCAGAAAGCAAGAGATTTCAAATCAGAAGGCGTGGCTGGCCTTCCAGCCCTCTGCAACAGCCACCTGCGACATCGACCTCCAATTTTCACCAGTGATGAGTGGATGAGTGATTAATTCCTGGGATCTCTCCAGTGATCAGGAAAACTGCAACGGACCAGCCCAGACCGGGGCAGTTCAGTCCGATGGGAACAGGGTCGTCGAGAGGGTGGACAAGGAGTCGGCGAGTGACAAACAGACGCAAAAGGAGCTTGATGAAAGTCTGAGTGTAATGTTTGCAGTTGCAAGGTTTGAGATATATACAGCAAAGATCACAAAAACCGCAGAACAGTCATGCTAAGATTCACAGTTCCAGAGGTGAAAGTAAAACATAATTTTGCCAACATATCTCTCTATCTCATCAACCTGACACTAGACAGTAAACTCCTGTTTCTCTGTGTCTTTTCACTGTCAGCCTTTCTCACACACTTAAGATCCTGCTCGGCTTTGTAGTCCCAAGTCAGGGTGGCCTTGGTTCATTAAGCACCCCATCAGGCACTTCCAACACCAGTGGTGCCAG